GCCTCAGTCCTGCAGAGTTCAGCTCCAACCCTAATCAAACACACCTGAACAAGCTAATCAATGTCTTCAGCATTACTAAGGCTATAGGCAGGTGAGTTTTGTTTTCAGGGTTGGAGCTGAACTCTGCAGGACTGCGGCTCTCTAGGACCGAACTTGCCTACCCCTGGTCTAGTGGTTTTAACAAGCCACCAATAGAAGGTGAACAATTACTAGTATAGACCCACAGGGACCATTACAGCTTCCATTAAAACCATTACAAATTTTGAGATAAACCCAATTCCCTTGGTCGCTTGATTTGTGTCGTCTCAACAGGAACAAATTCCTTTCCTTTCCTGCAGTCAACAAATCAACAAAAGAGCAATGATATGCAAGTGCTATAGCAAGTCTCAGTTAGCTTAACGCAGTACACATAGCAAGGTTTTTTTATTATTATATAATAAATAAAAAGAAAACAAATATATAGAATACAAAAATAATAGAGAAGCTAGTGTTAGTTTTTGTTGTTGTTGTTTTTAAGAAAACAAGCAGTTAGTAACTTAATAGAGTGCAAGTCTAAAAGGTGCAAGTTTTTTTTTTTAAAGAATAGAATTAGAATAGAGAGTGCTAGTGTTAGAGGGTCAAATAAAGATGGAAGAGATGTGTTTTTAGTCGTTTCTTGAAGATGGTTAAGGCTCAGCTGCTGGGATTGAGTTGAGCAGGTCATTCCAGCAGGAGGGAACAGTTAATGTAGAAGTCTGTGAAAGTGATTTAGTGCTTCTCTTTGGGATGAACAATAAAGCGACGTTCACTTGCAGAACACAAGCTTCTAGAGGGCACATAACTCTGAAGTAATGAATTTAGGTAAAGGGGTGCAAATTCATACATAAAATGGATCATTTAAATGTATCACTGCACTGCGTATTTCAGTAACGCGAGCAGACAAACATTAGTGGACTATCCTAGTTTCCAGGGTTTTAGTTTGATGCTAAGAGTCTTAATGAAGCTTCCTGATGAACAACCAGAGGATCCAGCAGGAGCAGCTTCATCTCTCAGAGACTGAACAGCAGATGAGCTGCACTATCATGATAAAACATGGATCGACACAGCCTGCGGTGAGAGGATGAGCATGGAATAGTGCCATTATCATGCTGCATCATCCCCAGCATCACTGGAGCAGCAGCTGAGCAGATCTTTAAACAGAGCAGCGGTCATCAAGTGACCGATAGCATCTCCGCATGCAGACGAGAGACACTCTCAGTGTTACAAACACTGCTTAATTAGTGGAGTGATTTTAATAAACTCTCTTAAAACCAGCTATTTACATGAGCCAACCTTACTTGACTTTTTACTTGATGAAGATGACATGTCGTTTTTTGAGCTTGAGAGCTGTGTCGTATTTGAGATCAGCAGTGTGTAAAGATTCTCCTTTCACAGAATTCTCCTCTTGCAAAAACCTTGCAAGAATTCAATGCAAATCAGCTGGTTTAACTGAATTACGTTGTTATTTCTTGATATATTCTTGCGTTTTAGAGCCCCTTCAGCGTCTGAGAGAGACAAATCATCTGCCTTTGGGCAAAACAATAAAGGTGCGTGACAATTTCTGCTCACACGTGCTGATGATGAGGATGAGGATGAGGATGATGTGTGCGGGGGATTGGAACGACACTGAGATAAATGTGTGTTCTGCTGCTGTCGTGCCCTGTCAGAAGACGAGCTGGAGCGAGGCTCTCGTTGCGGCGCATCATTCATCGATGAGGAAGGCACGTTAGCAGACGAGCTCCTGTCTCAGCTCCCATTATCATGTGACATGGAAAGAGTCCTGACCGTTTACATCCCATGAACGCGTCTGAGTGGATTTACACAAACTTACAGCTCACAGACACTCTTATTTCTCTCTTACAAACTTTCTCCTCCTGCTTGACTGGGAAAAGTTTTCTTCTATAGTCACATCCAGTAGGATTATGCATATCCATCTATAAGAAGCACTTTAGAACTTCTAGTGTTCCAGTTTAGTGGTTTGTGAAAATCTAACATCTGCTACATATGGCTGTGCTGCAATCAATCATAAATGCATCATTAACTCAGTGTTTGATGGGATTTGCACAGTGAAATGTTGAAGGCACTGGCTCTGGTTACATGCATGTACAGTATGCTCATTTTCATCGGGTTTTCATGGTCATGCACAATGGTAATACTGTATGATCAAGAACTAATTAGGGTGGCATGTGTAAGTGTTGTTGTTTTTAATGATTCATGTATAGTAATGAGAGAGCGCCTGAGATGAGTTGAGTGTTGTGTAGCCTTAGGGAACGTTAGAAAGACACGGCGAGGTCACATTATGCAGGCACAAGTCGTGAAAGCAGAGTCTCTTCTGATTCCACTGCTGTGTGCAGTCTGTTGTTTGCTCTGCAGAGTTGGATTTATCCTGGATATGTGCACAGAAGAGGCTGAAGGGCTGGAGGCTTGAACAAGAGCTCGCTTTCAAACAATCCCACTCCTCCATGAGCTCCAGGCACGAGGCTGACAGAGAAAACACTTTCTGGCAACCCTCCAGAACCTGCTGACCACAGACAGCTACTGCTGCTCAAACACCACAGATCTGCTTTTAGACATTCATGTGGAACACAGAGCAGTGCTGGATCATCTGAGGTCACATTACAGACAGAACTGAGCTATTAATCATTTTAATGATGAAGATTACAGGAAATGAAGAAATGAAATCAACGACTGTGATTTTGCCATAAATGCGCAGCCTTAGTCTGAACAAAATGTGAAGTGACCCAGCACTTCTGCACTTCTCAGCTCTGGCCTGGAGACCCACTGTGCAGCCCCAGTCAAACACACCTGATCCAGCTGATCGAGGTGTTCAGGGTCACTCGAGAGCTTCAGACAAGTGCGTTTGAGCAGGGTCCGAGCTGAGAGACACTGAACTGCAGTTTATTTGGCAACTTTGCACTAGGAGTATTTCACAAAGTGTTTGAGCACTAAAACTAGCTCCTAAATCAGTGAAAGGTTAGGAGCAGTGAAGAGGAGTCCTAAGTCACTAAAACCAAGCCACAAACTATCCTAACATAGCTGTTTCCAGCAATCTGCCTCAGAACAGAAACATTTTAGTAACACACTGCATTTATTTGCACACATACAGTATGTCTTCCCATGCATCTTTTTTGGTTTTGGAGATTTTCCTTTGATTATGTCCTTGTTTTCATTCAGCAGCTCAGCAAGAAGCAACAGCTGTTCTTTTAGCTGGTTTACGTTTGCATGTCTTACTATCAGCCATGATTATTCTACTCTGTTCATTAAAAGGCTGTTTATATGCATGTCCGCTAATTGTTTAAGAGAAGCACACGTGTAAGAGACTGACAATTATCTGAACATATACTTGTTTAATTAGTGTCACTTAGCCTGCGTTTTAAAATCTTTATTTAAATGTGGCAACATTTTTAAACCTTTATTTGAATATAGCAACATAATATTGCGCTCTACAATATTTCTATGAATACATCTCTGACAGAGACTATCAGCCAATCACTGTGTGCATAGTTAATGAGCATGCTGACATCATCCACCCCGCTCCTACTTTGAGCACAAGCACATGCAGCACAGCAGAAACAGAGCAGGGCATCACACATAACACATCCAGTGTAGACACTATCATTGACTAGCAACAGGTTCTGTCTGCTTATTCAGATCTGAATGAGTTTGAACGCATACCTGTGACTTTGAGCTCTGTGGTCCGTCTCACAACTCTGCTGCCATATTTGAGTTCACAGGTGTAGTTCCCTCCGTCATCCTCCTGCACCTCCGGGACCCAGAGGCTGGTGGTGTTGATGATGATGGAGCTCCTCCACTCTTTCCTCTGACACTCCTGAGGAAACACACCACTCTTCACATGTCTCACACTCACTCATTTCAAACCCACTATCCTAAAACTCACCGATGTTTTAAAAAGAAAAATAGGCTTGTTGATCCTGGAACAATGTTCCTCTCAAAGCAAGATGGTTTAAGGCAGGGGTTTCCAAACCTGCAGAGTTTAGCTCAAAAGCTTTTGAAACACACCTGATCCAGCCAATCATGCTCTTCAGACGGACTAGAAACCTCCAGGTTAGTGTGTTACAACTGGTTTGAACTAAACTCTTCAGGTTTAGGTTAGGTCATGTTTAGGGCAACACTGTAAAAAAATTACTGTGAATTTAACGGTAAAAGACTGTAAAAATTCTACAGTAAAAACCTGTTAAATGGTTAATGGTAAGTTGCCTTACTATATACAGTGAAAAACTGTATTTGACATTACTTGTAATTTTACGGTAGTATACCGTTTTTGGAAGAGAAAAAGGAAAAAGAAGGTATAATTTTTGGAAAAAGAAGGTATAATTTACAGTGAATAACCGTAAATTGACATTCCCAGTATTCCCTGTGTTACATTTCAACTTTGATGTTTTTTTTTGTTTTTTTTATTGAAATAACTATGTTTCGTCTAAGTTTTTCTTATCATGTTTGTACAGAAGAGTTGTATGTTACATCTAATGTGCTGTTCTTTTACCGTAAATTTTACTGATTTTTTTTACAGTGTAGAAGTTGAGACCGAAACCAAAGCATCCATCATGGTCCCCTCATGCTGTGTGAGATGTGAGCCTGTACCTTGTACCAAGTCATGATAGGTTGCTTGTAGGGTGCGAGATAGTCGTCGATGTCAGGGCAGCTGATCATTTTGCTCTTGGTGACCTCGGCGTTCTCCTGGTACCGAATTCGGCTGCTGAAGCAGAGTCCCTCCTCGCTCTCCTCCACCGTCAGAGACATGGACACCTTCATACAGTACGTGGAGTTTCTGTCAAGACACACCATCAGACAGGTCATGACACCACGACTCTTCTGACATATATGTGACCCTGGAGCACAAAACCAGTCATAAGGGTCTTTTTTATTTATTTATTGAGATGCATACATCATATGAAAGCTGAATAAATAAGCTCTCCATTGATGTATGGTTTGTTAGGATAGGACAATATTTGGCTGAGATGCTGAGGGTGCAAAAAAATCTAAATATTGAGAAAATCATCTTTAAAGTTGTCCAAATGAAGTGCATATTTCTATTCAAAATTAAGTTTTGATACATTTACGGTAGGAAATGTACAAAATATCTTCATGGAACATGATCTTTACTTAATATCCTAATGATTTTTGGCATAAAAGAGAAATGTATAATTGTGACCCATACAATGTATTGTTGGCTATTGCTACAAATATCCCCCAGCGACTTAACACTGCTTTTGTGCTGCAGGCTCACGTATTACATCATTGTTGTTCTCTTTGTGTGTGTGAGTGTGTGTGCGCGTTTTTGTGACAAATGAGGACATAAATTTGTATAATGACAAAGGTATAACATAGGTATTACAAGGAGAAGGTGACTTTTCAGGACATTACCCCATGTCCCCACTTTTCAAAACGCTTATAAATCACACAGAATGGAGTGTATTGAAAATCTGAAATAGCACAAAGTCTCCTGTGAGGGGTAGGTTTAGGGGTAGGGTTGGTGTAGGGCAATAGAATATACGGTCTGTACAGTATAAAAACCATTACGCCTATGGAGAGAACCCACTTTTCACAAATGTAAACCTGTGTGTGTGTGTGTTTGTGTGTGTGTCGACAGGCTCAATAAACCACAAATGCGACAGAAAAAGATCAAATGAGCTCAGCTTCCTCTTTCTCCTCCATCAATTTCTGGTCAACCTGGTTACACAGAACTCACTAGTCATTTAAAACAATAACTGAGAAACAACATCCTCATCTGCCGATAAAAGACAACATGTGTGCATATAACGCATTGCAGTCAGCAGTTTATGCCACCAATTAGGGCAAAATGATTTGGGGGACAAAAAAATTGATTGCAAATTTTATGGTAAAACTGCAATTGCAATTTAAATGTTTTTTTAAAGAGCTCCTGGTTTTATGTAGGGATGCAAAATTTGTCATGTGACAAATGCAAACTGCACCTTTAAGATTCAGAGAATGATTGACAGCTGCGATGACATCATTAAATGCATACTGCATTTATTTGCATAATTAATTGCGATTGGTGTGTTCTTTCTTGCATCTCTGTGTCTTTACGACCCACTTTACCGACGCTTAATGTGATTAGTAAATATGAGATGACAACAGCCTAACGAGCGTGATTTTATCTCCTCGTTATTGAATTAGTTGATGTGTGAAGCGCAGTAAATGAGGAAAGTTTCAGGGAATGAGTCAGAATTATAAAAATACGTCAAGCATCAAAAACACCCACAAACGGCTTCTCTTCCACGACCAGAACAAGCAGAAACGCAAACGACCGAACATCCTCTAAAAACCTTAAACATATTAGCAGCTTTGCTTTATCCAGCAAACAAATGCCAGCATTTCAGCCCATTAGATGGTTGATGGTGAACTTCAAAAGATGCGAAAGATCTCAATCACATTGCATTTGGTCGCGTTACATTAAAGGTGCTGTACATAATGTGTTACATTAAAGGTGTTGACTGTACTGAAGAATAAAAACACCATAATATGTATGCAGATATTTAGGAAGCATGCTCAATCTCTGAAAAACAGATATTCTGATTTGAAATGTGCATTCCTTGTCGGAATGTCTGTTTTTTGTTTTGGTCTGTGTGACTCCGCCCACTGCTAATTTACCCAATAGGATTTTGACACCACAGTTTAGCAGAAAACACAGCATATTGCAGCCATGAAATCCAGCAAATAAACTAGGTCAGAAATCACAGACTCAACCCGACTTAAAACACTTCGGCATCCATCTAAAAAGCTCTATGAGCTGAGGAATATTAAATACAGATAAATCAATTCATCAAATTGTGTCGAGTCTGAGGAGGAAGTGCGGGAGAAACAAAGCTCTCCAATATTTTGAATTGCGTTGTGGGTTCCATATACTAATATAATAATTAATAAATATAAAGATGTTTGTGGGTCAACCTGGCCCTAGCTTTAATACAACTCACCAAAAATCACACTATTAAAAATAGTAAACTAACTATTGCAAACAGCAAACAGAACAAAAAGTGTTATATTATAACCAAACAATGACTTTACAAATCCACATTACAGAACATAGAAATAAAACAGTATTTAACAAATATTTTCTAACTGTAACATTTTTCACAAACTGTGAGCGTACAGTTATTACAATATTTCAAGTGTTGCTTTATGTTTATGCTTTTGAAAATGGATCTTTACTATCTCTAATTAAGTTTATTATTTTGCATTTTAGGCTATTTTAGACAAAGTATGTGCATCTGCAAATGTAATTGTCTAGTTTATTATTATTTTATTATTTATTATTATGACGAGGGAACTTAGAAACAAAGAATTTAATTTTAAATTGTAATGTTTTGCCATGATTAAATTTTTTATAAATCGAGGAATCACGATTTTGAATAGAAATATTACCAAAGGTTAGAATTAGACACTTTGACAGTATGCCAATCTTAAGAGTAAAGAGAAATGAAAGATTGACTGTTGATTATTTTTACAGAACATTTATAGTTAATAATAGTCTACTGGTGTTTAACCTTCAGTCATTCTGAATTTGAATAACCTTGACTTCCAGATTTTTGAAGCATTTTCATTGTATTATTTCTTAACATATAATATGTATAAGACAAGTTTGTACAAGATGTAGTTGTAGTTTATGCATCTTTTCTGCAAATATATTTAACAAGTGATTTAACATTTACATGGTGTGTGTTGCATTCGGAATAGAAATTTATTTTATCTAGAGGGTTATTAAAGAAAAAGTTGCTTGAATCATGTTGACTAGTTAAAAATCGTAAAAATCGAGAATCGGACAAATGTGACCCTGGAGCACAAAACCAGTCATAAGGGTCTTTTTTATTTATTTATTGAGATGCATACATCATATGAAAGCTGAATAAATAAGCTCTCCATTGATGTATGGTTTGTTAGGATAGGACAATATTTGGCTGAGATGCTGAGGGTGCAAAAAAATCTAAATATTGAGAAAATCATCTTTAAAGTTGTCCAAATGAAGTGCATATTTCTATTCAAAATTAAGTTTTGATACATTTACGGTAGGAAATGTACAAAATATCTTCATGGAACATGATCTTTACTTAATATCCTAATGATTTTTGGCATAAAAGAGAAATGTATAATTTTGACCCATACAATGTATTGTTGGCTATTGCTACAAATATCCCCCAGCGACTTAACACTGCTTTTGTGCTGCAGGCTCACGTATTACATCATTGTGCTATGAAAACACTACTCTAGTTTCAGAGCTCAGATTCTCTCAGTGAGCTTTTGTTAAAAACAAAGCTGCCAAAGCGGCACGCTTTCTACTTCCTCCACATTGTGACATCACACTGTGAGTGACATTTGCAATCAGCGCAATCACCTCACCTCATGATTTGCCTGAAATTCACCACTAAAACAGTGTTTTTTGGCAGAATGAGGGTTGAAAATAGCCACATTTTGAAAACTCACAAGCTCAAGGAACATATTAAAGTAAAATAAAGAAACCCTTTAATATTTACTCCAAAATGTCCACACATATTCCACATTGGTCGTCAGCGCTGCCTCTGAGCATGAGGTGAAGCAGACGCTGATGTGCTGTTGCAAATGTCCATCACGTCACAATGTGGAGGAAGTGTAAAGCTCCTTGTTTTGGCAGCTTTGTTTTTAACAAATGCTTGCTGAGCTATTTAGCAGATTTTGGTAGAGCATCTCTTTGTAGATGTTTCTCTCTTTTATATGTATGAGGGAGAAGTGTATAATTTAGGTTCTATTACAATATCTGAAACCACTTTTTAAGGGGTTTTCTTCCCTATAGTAAAAAAATAACTAGTCTCTGTGGGCTTCTGTACGTTTGGAAACACTTAATGACATGAATGTGTACATGAAATGATTCTCCCTATTCATTTAGCTCTGATTCTAGAAATCTCTTGCTTTTTCCACACATTCTTTGAATCTGCCTACTGCATTGATTTTCTTTTATTCTGTGCAATATCAGAAGCACAAGGCTTGGCCACAGTGGTAAAACAGAGCAATTACCAGTGTGTTCAATATAAACAGTTTAGTAATTATTAACATCCCCACTGCTCCATCCTTGTCTGTTTCTTTTATCCCACAACGACACCCGGCTGGATTAATTGAGAGCTGTGTTGGGCTTTTCGGTTATGAAAGAATCTGATACCTCCTGTCATAACGTTCAAAGGGAATCAATTAATGATGAAAAATACAGTGGATCTGAAAATGAGAATACATCTGCATACAAACAGAGAGAGCATTTCTGAGAAGGCTGTGCTGAGTTGAAACAAACTGTCTCCCACACACGGGAAGCGTCTCATTAAACACGCACATATGCATATCAGTCAAATATGCAAAACCGTCTTCCCTAGAGGACAGCTTTTCCACAGGAACTCCCTCGATCAGCCATCGTGAGTGAGGAATATTCCAAACAATTCACAAGCCTCACATTTAATTATTTCGGTAACGTGAATATAACACGTTCTGAAACGATCCAGAAATCAACTCAAACTGAATTATTTCGGGGCCAGTGCAGAGCGTCAGATATTGCTGCTGTTACTAGTAATAGTGAAACACACGTGTGCAGACTGATCAATAAAGTTGAGTGATTGCATCTTGTGTGACGTGGATCAATGCCGTTATTTGAGGCCTGAGTCTTCTCCTGTCCCAGATGACACTGAGATTGGACAATGGACCCTCGAAGCTGCTGACCGCTTCAGACGATTCTTCAGTGCTCTCTGAGCCGTTATCAGCCTGAAGAGAGGAAAAGATGCTTCCAGTGTACAGCAGCGACTGAATAAGTGCCATCTGCCCTCCCTTCAGCTGCTAATTAGGACATTAGGCTAGT